GCCATCTTTGGAGGCTAGCTAACACATCAATGTTTATTAGAGAAATTCACGAACAAGATACCAAGCCTATTTCCTACCAAATGACCAAAAGCAAAGGAATGCTCAGCTTAATTGTCTTTTACTATACAGAAGTCTACACCCAAATCTTTCTGATGTTTCCATGATCTCTCCCAAATATGCCTCATTCAAATTCTTTCAGCACTGCAGTCTCTTCATTAGGTTCTAGCATGACTCTCATGTACACTAAATGTTTCCAGATGCATGAATTCCAAAATTCAGAAAAATTAAGATATAACTAGTTTAGTCTATATATTTACAGAGAGTTCTCAACTTTGTAAATTTCTTTTTATAATTATTTTTTTCTTTTTTAGAAACAGGGTCTTGCTATGTCACCCAGGCTGGAGTGCAGTGGCGCTTGGTCCTAGCTCACTGCAGCCTTGAACTTCTGGGCTGAAGCGATCCTCCTGCCTGACCCTCCCAAGTAGCTGGGACTATAGACACGTACTGCCATGCCGGGTTAATTTTTAGATTTTTTTTGTAGACACGGGGATTTCGCCATGCTGCCCAGTCTGGTCTGCAACTCCTGAGCTCAAGCGATCCTCCTGCCTTGGCTTCCCAAAGAGCTAGGGTTACAGGTATGAGCCACCATGCTTGGCCAACTTTGTAATTTTTTAATTGCCAATTAAGAACATTAAAAAATGTACCATCTACTATTACTCTTGCTTCTTAAAGGAAAGTATGTTTACTTTTTAAAAAAGTAACAGAATTTCATACTGAAGGACAGCCTTCAGTATGAAACGGGTTACTTTATGAAAACTTACTATATATCTTTATTGTTCTTATTTTGCTGCAAGTCATGAAAATCCCACCAAGGACTGCCACTGGTTCCTGGACCCAGTGTTTGGGAATCCCTAGTCAATTCAGTGTTACTGAACATTTTCAAGGCCTTTAAAAACATTTTTTTATTTTTTTATTTTTTGAGACAGGGTCTGGTTCCATTGCCCAGGCTGAAGTCAGTGACATGATCTCAGCTCACTACAACCTCTGCCTTCCAGGCTCAAGCAATTCTCCCACTTCAGTCCCCTGGGTAGCTGGGACTACAGGTGCCACCATGCCTGGTTAATTTTTGTATTCTTTTGTAGAGGTAGGATTTCACCATGTTGCCCAGGCTGGTCTCCAATTCTTGAGCTCAAGTAATCTGCCTGCCTTGGCCTCCAAAAGTGCTGGTATTACAGGTGTGAGCCACCGCACCCACCCTTCAAGACCCTTTTCATTCAACCTGTTAAAATCATTTCACATCTTTATCTAGGGACTGTAATCAGACTGATGACATTGCAAATTCTGTAACCATTTAAATCTGTGCTAATGTAAATAATCCAATTGTTAAATACTTGTCACTGTATTAGGACTGGATAGTGTAAACATAGTCAGTAGTTATGAATGGGGGGTTCTGTAGTTAGATTGTCTCTGTTGCAATCAGGGTCTGAGCAAGTATTAACAACATATCTCTCTGCACTTCAGTTTCCCCATCTGTGGCATAGTTTTAAATATATCATGTATAAAGTGTGTGGAGTAGTACCTAGCACATGGTGAGCACTCAATATGTTTGTTATATTATTATTATATTTATACATGGCATCAGTATTTTGCCCTTACATGTAGGATTTTAACATACTTTACTTTTCTTTTTTTGAGACGGAGTCTCGCTCTATCGCCCAGGCTGGAGTGCAGTGCCATCTCGGCTCACTGCAAGTTCCGCCTCCTGGGTTCACGCCATTCTCCTGCCTCAGCCTCCCAAGTAGCTGGGACTACAGGGGCCCGCCACCACGCCCAGCTAATTTCTTGTATTTTTAGTAGAGACGGGGTTTCACCATGTTAGACAGATGGTCTCCATCTCCTGACCTTGCGATACGCCCGTCTCAGGCTCCCAAAGTGCTGGGACTACAGGTGTGAGCCACCGCGCCCGGCCCATAATTTATATTTTAAGGGTGATCTCAAATATCCACAGTACTTTGGAAGAGATTAGTCACAGTTAGACGATAGAATTTTAAGGTTGTAAGGGAACTTTATTTTGTTTTTATTTATTTATTTATTTTGAGACAGAGTCTCACTCTGTCACCCAGGCTGGAGTGCAATGGCGCCATCTCGGCTCACTGCAACCTCCGCCTCCAGGGTTCAAGCAATTCTCCTGCCTCAGCCTCCAGAGAAGCTGGGATTAACAGGTGCCTGCCACCACACTCGGCTAATGGAAGGGAATTTTTAATATCATATGATTCCACCCTATTATAGGTGAGGACCTCTTTATTAAAAAAAGTTGGCCGGGCGCGGTGGCTCACGCTTGCAGTCCCAGCACTTTGGGAGGTCGAGGAGGGTGGATCACGAGGTCAGGAGTTCGAGACCGGCCTGACCAACATGGTGAAACCCCGTTTCTACTGAAAATACAAAAATAGGCCAGGGGCAGTGGCTCATGCCTGTAATCCCAGCACTTCCGGAGGCCAAGGTGGGTGGATCACCTGAGATCGGGAGTTCGAGGCCAGCCTGATCAACACGGAGAAACCCCATCTCTACTAAAAATACAAAATTAGCAGGGGGCGGTGGCGCATGCCTGTAATCCCGGCTATTTGGGAGGCAGGAGAATCACTTGAACCCAGGAGGTGGAGGTTGCGGTGAGCCGAGATCGCGACATTGCACACCAGCCTGAGCAACAAGAGTGAAACTCCATCTCAGTACAAAACAAAACACCAAAAATTAGCTGGGCGTAGTGGCGCATGCCTGTAATCCCAGCTACTCCCGAGGCTGAGGCAGGAGAATCGCTTGAAACCGGGAGGCGGAGGTTGCAGTGAGCCCAGATGGCGTCACTGCACTCCTGCCTGGGCGACAAGAGCAAAACTCCGCCTCGGAGGAAAAAAAAAAAAAAAAGTGAATTCAGAGTCCATCTATCTTACGGCAGAAGATAACTAGTGATGTGTTACAATCATCAGAAGAGCCTTGTAGGTAAGTAAGCTATATGGACTTCACATATATTTCTAGTAGTTCTGCCAGGCTGGTTATCACTTCCACTTATATTTATCAGTGTCACTCATGTATTGTCTTAACTACCTGTATTTCTTCGTATGTGTCTAAATGGAAAGCAACATAATGTTCACCGTTCTCTGAGAACAAAATTCCTAATACCTAAAAATGGTAATAATAATAAAAAAAAGACAAGCAGGGTTTAGGAAATTTATTTTAGGGCAACTGCTAGATTTATTTTAAGCCCTACGCTTAAAAATAAATCTAATTCACATGACTTAAAATGCTGGAGCCAAGAAAAGTCACTGCAAAGGCATTTAATGAAATACCTGGTTTGTCTAGTTGTCTTTGCTATGATTTTTGTATAAACCAAAAACGTCCTATCTTGATATATACAGTGGATTTTACATCTAAATATTTCTTGTATTTAATAAATTAAAAATAGAAATAGACATTTTTTTCAAACCATATAAGATTTTCCTAACCTCTGACTCACATTGTAAGGTTGGTGGACTGTTCAGATGCTGTACGATGCTTCTTACCCCGATGCTTTTGGTTCATCTGTAGCATTTTCCATCATGGGGTAAAAGATCCACATTTTCTATTTCTAGTGATCCTTAATTTGATTTCTGAGCAAAAATAAAGTTTGATTAGAAATACCTTAAGGTAGATTTCCTGCTGAAACCAGTGAAGAACATAACTTTATCAGCGGGGGTGAGTGACAAATCTTTCACCTTTCCTCACATCACAGTCAGTGAAGCAACGAACTAGGAGAAATGTCTATTATTCTCATGTCCTACGTCAGTTCTGATAAAAATCACACTTACGTTTCACTGAATGTTTTGACATTGAAACGACAGCATTACACGTCCAGGAGAGAACTACAGTGGGGGTTAATGAAGTAAGAGAACTAATACGAAAGACTTAAAAATATTGATTTTTTTCTAAGAGATTATTTTCCTTTAAAAAAAATTAAATTGAGCTTGACTTCTATTGACTGTATCTTCCGGAGTCAATATTTTATGGCTCCCCTGACACACACGCCTGGCGTGGGAGGGTTGAGCGCTTCGAAACTTTCCCAGTGAATTGTAAATGGGTTCAAGGCTAGGGCTCCAGAGGGCTATCCATGGAGTACCACCGAAAACCAAACGCCACCGAAAACCAAACGCCGCTAAATGCTGGTACCTGCCCACGAAAAGGCTTCCTGCCTAAAGAAGAACGTATCACCCCATCCTAACAGTAACAAGAACAAGCACTATCTCCTCGTCAGAAGTCTCTGGACTTGCTACAACCCAGAGGAAACAACTGGGGCATCTGCCGGGACAGCGACCAGAAGCAGCCAGAGCTCCGCCTCTGTCCGGACCTCCAAGGCGGCTCCAGAGCCCTGCAAGGCTCCTCAGAGCCGGCCAAGGCTCGGACCCTACCGGCAGCTGCTTACCCCACGTCTGCTCCTCCCGGCGGTCCGCCTTCTCCGCCCGCCTGCCCGCAAGGCCCCGCCCACCTCACCGCCCCGCCCCGCCCTGCGGAGGCGACAGCGTGCGCGCGCGCGCGCGCGGGGTCCCGGCTGGTTCCCCTTCCGAGCGTCCGCGCCCCGCATGCGCAGTCTGCACCGGCGGTCTCCGTTTGTTTGAACAGGAAGGCGGACATATTAGTCCCTCTCGGCCCCCCTCGCCCCACCCCCCCGGGCATTCGCCGCCGCGACTCGCCCTTTCCCCGGCTGGGACCGCAGCCCCTCCCAGGAGCTCCCCCATCAGCAGCCGCCGGGACTCAACTATCGTCTTCCTCTTCGCCCGCTCTCCAGCCTTTCCTCTGCTAAGTCTCCATCGGGCATCGACCTCGCCCTGCCCCACCGGACACCGTAGCAGCAGCCCCAGCAGCGACGGGACAAAATGGGAGAGTGAGGCTGTCCCGCGGGGACCAGCTCGTGGCCGAGACTGATCGGTGCGTCGGGCCGGGCCGAGTAGAGCCGGGGACGCGGGGCTAGACCGTCTACAGCGCCTCTGAGCGGAGCGGGCCCGGCCCGTGGCCCGAGCGGCGGCCGCAGCTGGCACAGCTCCTCACCCGCCCTTCGCTTTCGCCTTTCCTCTTCTCCCTCCCTTGTTGCCCCGAGGGAGTCTCCACCCTGCTTTTCTTTCTCTCCCCGCTCCTGCCCATCTCGGGACGGGGACCCCTCCATGGCGACGGCGGCCGGGGCCCGCTAGGCTGAAGCACCTCGCCGGAGCGACGAGGCTGGTGGCGACGGCGCTGTCGGCTGTCGTGAGGGGCTGCCGGGTGGGATGCGACTTTGGGCGTCCGAGCGGCTGTGGGTCGCTGTTGCCCCCGGCCCGGGGTCTGGAGAGCGGAGGTCCCCTCAGTGAGGGGAAGAAGGGGGAACCGGGCGCACCTGGTGACCCTGAGGTTCCGGCTCCTCCGCCCCGCGGCTGCGAACCCACCGCGGAGGAAGTTGGTTGAAATTGCTTTCCGCTGCTGGTGCTGGTACGAGGGCATTGTCACAGCAGCAGCAACATGTCGACTGGGGACAGTTTTGAGACTCGATTTGAAAAAATCGACAACCTGCTGCGGGATCCCAAATCGGAAGTGAATTCGGATTGTTTGCTGGTGAGTAGCGCTGTTCTCTTTTGCTCGTCTGGGGTTTTGCATGTCTTTCCTTCCTCTTGCATTACTCTGGTTCGCTGCAAAAGAAAGTCTCAGGTGTGCATAATCGTCTTGGGAAACGCTGGATTTCTGTTTCCCGAAGAATCTTGGAGTACCATTAACATCTCATGGCGTGGTGCTATTTGCCATTTGACTGGCTCTGTACTAACTACTCTCTGAACTTTTAATTCTGACTCAGTTCATGAGTACCCGAAAGATACTTACAAACTGCTATTGCAGGCATCCTATAAAAAGTTATTACGTCAGAGTTACTGCAACGTATGTAGTTTGTTGAATGACGATCGTAGTAATATTAATCTTTTTGATCAGTTTGACAGTTAAATTGAAAAGACAACTTTGCTTTTTTTTTTTTTTTTTTTTTTTTTTTTGCGATTTAGCTCCTAGGCGTTTAGTTTTTAGCCTTGAAAGTGACAACGGATAATTGATATTGAGCAAGTGATTTTTGAGCCAAAATTTCATAGGTGATTTGAGTTTGAAGGAACTTTTGGCTAAACTCTTGTAAAAACCCAAGATAATTGGTCTTAGGCCATTACAATGTTAACTTATTATATTATTGGTTACAAAAGTACTGACCATACAGTTATTGTAACTGTCTTTTTGGTGGTGTGGCACTTAACATTGTCACTTTTAAAACATTCTAAAGAGGGTTTTATGACATGAAAAACCAAAATCCCATTTTAAAAATAGTTAAGTGGTTGATAACCTACAGTTCTCTGTAAATAATTGGAATTCTTAGGTTTGATACATTTCCTCTGTAAACGAGTTTCTGAACAACTAAGGGTTATATAGTATTTCTCTTTTAGTCCAAACAAAACCACAAAATCTCTAAAAATAAGGTTTCAGGGAGTACGTATATGGACGGGATTTCACAAAGTCTTCGGTGAAATAATGTTAGAGATGCTCAATTTTGGGAATTAAGATTAAGGAAACAAAATAATACCACTCAAAGAAATAATACAATTCAAAAATCCCATCTTGAATCAAAGGAAAATTAATGTAGATTGTTTAAAATTAACGTGCATATTTTTCCACGTGTATGGACTTTACAAGAATCTTCCCAAAGCTTTCAGAATTATTCTAAGCATCCCTGACCAGGAAATAAGAGTATTGTGGGTTATTAGAAATGTCTTATCACATTATGGATGCTCTTCATATTGAGAAATAGTAAAGAAGATTGATGCACAATGGATTTTAAAACATTTTATTAAACGAGATAAGTGGAAGGAATTAGAATATATCTGTCTAGTAAGGATTTCTGTAACTTCTAAGAAGTCTGATTTATCTTTTAATATTTATCCAGTTTTCATGTATTTTTGAGTTTATTTTGCTTTTCGATCTCCTTATTACATGAGATGGTGTTATAGGGAGGGTTTTGTAGCTTTCTTTTTTTATTTTAATCATCTTCTAGCCTCTTGCTATAGCTTCATTTGGTGGGGACCTTTATTTAGATGTGGAGGATACAAGGAAATATAAGTCATGGACTCTTTCCCTGAGAGTCCAATCTATTTAATGGAAGACAAAACCTTATCTCACATATATACACAGAAACAAAGCCAAACACTTCACAGATTGAGAAACGTGATAAATTCCAGATGATTGTTTAGATAATGTATGATCTTGGAAATTGAGAGGAAGAAGTCACTGTGAATTGAGAGAGCCAAAGTATGTTTCATGATGGATGGATAGGATTTAGATAGACGGTACTCAGGAGGAGTGGAGGATAACGTGAATGGAGGATAGAGACATGACTGGCTATGACAGGTTTGGGGAAACAAGGAAGATAAGGTTGGAAGGAAGGATTAGGGTTAGACTGTGGAGGATTTGATTGGTAGGCCAAGGATTTTGGACTGCCTTTACAATGTTGTGGCTGTTAAATATTTATAAATAAGACCGTGCTAGGATGAATGAAGAAGATGAATCTAGTGTGTGGAAGATGGGTTAGCATGGGAAAAGATTGGAGAGATGGTGAGATTGGATGGTTTTAAAAAATTATTATTGTAATAGTCCAGAAATGATTGAAGCCCAAAATTGGGGCATGATAATGAGAAAAGAAGAATTAATGGAACTTTATTGGCAGGCTTGGGGAAAAGAAGGGGAACCAAAGAGAGAGGCAGTAGTCAGATGACCCTGAAAAAGTTGAGCCTGGATTATAGGGAGAATGGTAAAAATAGCAAAGTCAGGTTTGGAAATTGCTTGGCTTTGAAGGCCTACAGATAAATTCAATTTTAGATTTGTTGTATTTGAGGGGATAGTGGAACAATCATGAGGAAATGACCTGTGGACTGTTAGAGATACAGAACTGAGCTCATAATTACAGATAATGATTTGGAAGTCATTTGCACAAAGGTGCAAGTTGATACGATAAAGGGAGAAACAGTGGAGAGAAAACAGGGTGAAAGATGAAGGTTGAACAAGGAGGAAGAGTGGAGGAAGTAAGCAATCAAAGCCTCTAGAGTTAGGACAGCCAGGTATCATGGAGGCCAACACTTCTAAAGCAACATTTTGAAAAAGAGAATAGTCAACAGACACATTTGGTTGTTTTTTCCCCCTTGAAATCTTACTATCTTGTCCCCTTTTAATGTTTAGTTCCACAGCTGTTTATTGATAGCTGTTACTGAAATTTTATTAGCCTATCAATCTGAACTTGGTAAAGACTGAATTTTCCTTTTCTTTCTGAGATGGAATCTCACTCTGTTGCCCAGGCTGGAGTGCAGTGGTGCCATCTTGGCTCACTGCAACCTCTGCCTCCCAGGTTCAGGTGATTCTCCTGCCTTAGCCCCCGTGAGTAGTTGAGATTACCGGCTAATTTCCGTATTTTTAGTAGAGATGGGGTTTCATGTTGGCCAGGCTGGTCTTGTACTCCTGACCCCAAGTAATCCGCCCGCCTCGGCCTCCCAGAGTGCTGGGATTACAGGTGTGAGCCACGGTGCCTGGCCCAAGACTGAATTTCCTTTGGAAACAAAAAGTCCTTTTTTCCGGTTTTGTAGTATCTAGCATGAATTTTCTTTGCATGATGTCTTATGTTTAACATTGAGCATTCATTCATTCATTCATTCTGTCATTCAGAGTGACCTATCAGGTGACTTCAACTTTTTCAGTGAGTTTGTTTTTGTTCTCCCCTATCTGGACTTTGGACTTCTCATATATTATAGGAGCAAAACTCCTTTTACATTGGTTGCCTTTCTCTATTATTTTGACTTTTGCTGATTTGTTTAACTGATACTTACTTATTAGTGTGTATTATGTGCCACAGGCAATTTAGTTCTAGGGTTTTTTTTGTAATCCCAAAAATAAGGTTTTCAAATTGTTTCTTCTCTACCTCCTTTACTAGATTCATGCTTAGAAATGAAAACTTCCACATCTTTTGGTTTCAGAAGTTTGCTGATGTATGTCCTTTTTACTACCTTACCCACTAAACAGCTTTTTTGTTGAGACACTAATGATGAATAGCATCTGTAATCTGAAATTTGAAATTCGAAGTGCTCAAAATCTGAAACTTTTTGAGTACTGACATGATGCCGCAAGTGGAAAATTCCACACCTGACCTTGTGCAATGGGTTGCAGTCAAAACTTTGTTTCATGCACAAAATTATTAAAATATTGCATAAAATGACCTTCAGGTTGTTTGTGTAAGGTATATATGAAACATAAATGAATTTCTTATTTAGACTTGTCCCCATCCCCATGGTATCTTAGTATATGCAAATATTTTAAAATCTGAAAAAGTATGCAGTCTGAAACACTTCTAATCCCTAGCATATTAAACAAGGGATACTCAACCTGCAGTAGTTTAGAATAATGTAGCTGGAAGAACTCTGATAAGTGGGTATCCAACCTTTTCTGGAACACCTATAATTTTTTTCAAGGACTAAGTAAGTTCAGTCTTCATATTATATATAAATGCTAAAATAGTCTGCAAATATTAAGATATATTATGATAACCATTCGCTTGTTTCCTAAAGCATTCAAATTAGTCAACTTTGCTTTTCTGTAAGTCATATTCTTTCCAGTGTCCTAATGGTTGTCTTTCTTACTGTCCATGTTACAGTTTATAAGGATTATCGGGAGCTATTTCCCTTTTTCTGACTTCCTTATCTTCTAATTATTTTGTCTAGGGCCTGTAATAATTTCTCAGTGATTTTGAGTACCCTTGAAAACAGAGTAAGGGATAGAGTTTAGTTAAGTCTGTTTAATCTTTGCAGAGGAAAAGATGCTTATAATTTGTAAATTAAAAAGGAAAAACAAGGCCGGGTACAGTGGCTCATGCCTGTAATCCCAGCACTTCAGGAGGCCAAGGCAGGCGAATAGCTTGAGCCCAGGAGTTCAAGAGCAGCTTGAGCAACATGATGAAACCCTGTTTCTACCAAAAATGCAAAAAGTTAGCCAGGCGTAATGGTATGCGCCTCTGGTCCCAGCTTCTGAAAGGCTGAGGCCAGAGAACTGCTTGAGCCCAGGATGGGGAGGTTGCAATGAGCCGAGATTGTGCCACTGCATTCCAGCCTGGGCAACACAGTGAGAACCTGTCTTAAAAAAAAAGGAAAAACAAAAGTGGTTGGGAGGGTTATGGATATATTTGTTTTGAAGTTTGACATACTTTTGATGAAAATACAGCTATCTTCCTTGTAGCGTATTTATTAGCACACTGCTTCACGATGCCAGTTAAGAACATGACCTTTCCACTTTTCTTCTGGCTGGTGGAGGTGTAGCAACGGGTGAGTGGAGGAGATGGAAGGGAACCAATATTAGTCGAACAGTGCATGTTGAGTTCTAACACTGTGCCGTTCCTTTTGTACATGTTTGTCACTACTATTTGTCATTAGGGAGTTGTTCAGAATGTGGAAGATAAACGTAAATGAAATTTCTGGTGTTAGTATTTGAGTTTTTCTTCCTTTAAGTTATCTTCCTGGGCTCTCTTGACCTAGTGCTTTCCCATCTTTTCATTC